AAAGAGGAGACCATATCTCAGCATTTGCCCGTAGAACACATTGTATCTTGGCAGTGCTACTGGGGATGTGTTATGTTCAGCAGCATAGGTACAATCCTCCACTATTGCAAGGGTGCTGTGTGGTGGTGTGAAGGGATGATGGGAACAAGAGGGAAATTTAAAATAACCAGAAAGAGAAAAGTAGAGACACTGAAATGGCCTTGAGGAGGTTGTTCTAGTGGCCTAATGGCAGAGCATCTGAATTCAAACCTAAGCTATAGTCACGTATTTCCTGAGAAATGCGAATTTAGCACACAATACCTACTTCATCTCTAGAAACCGCTTTGGCAAAGACAAGGAACAGCACTGAGCGATTTTGTCAGGAACTGTCTCTTGTCCTCCTTTTCTAGGAGGAGGATTGCCTAAAAGAGGGGCCTTGTAGTATACAAGTGAATCAGGGGAAAAAATCGGGCATGAGGAAGACTCAAAGACCCACATTGCCAAATGAGAGGAAAAGGGGAAGAGAGACTGACATATAATGTCCTGAATTTCACCGTGTTTAACCTCACTCACGTATGGGTTACATGAAACTGAGAACAGGGCAGAATTTGGGTTATGATGTCCATTGGAGCTGGGGAGAAGATATTCAAATTTACTTTCACTGTTTTGTCCTCCTCATCCCTTCTGCAAAAATCAGTCTATGTACTTGAGAGTGCTTTGGTAACCAAATCAATAACATGCAACAGTAACTGATTAGACCAGAAGACAAAAGCAACTTTTAAAATAAAAAAATGCTGCTTTCATTTGAAAGAACAGGAGCTGGGGGCAATGGGCAAGAATTAAATTAAACCCCGGGGGAAAACTACTCCCAGACAGTTAGAGGAAAAATTGGCTAATACTTATGTAGTGAAGGTGTTTTAAACTATGTTTTGTTCAGGGTTGGCTTTAATTAGGAATGTTGGCATACTTAACTCGGGTTTAGAGTACAAGGCAGATGTATTTTTAAGACACCCTGAAACTATCAAACAAATAATTTGCAAAAATCCCAAAGGAAGTGGAATATATATCTCTGTAGAAGAAAATCTGACTGCGACCCGGTGCTCAGAGATGCTAGATTTGAAGGATGATTATTGAATCTCCAGCAGCTGTATATAGTAGATCTTAACTTATTTTCCTTCTGAAATTCTCTAAAATAAACATATTGTTTCTGTCATTATAATTTATTTTTCTATTAGAGACAAAAAGAGCAGATTCTCCCATTGTCAATGTAAACTGTAAAAGTCTATGTTGGATTTAATCTTATATATCTGACACAGTGGTTTTCAAATGTATCTTTTCAAACTATATTTTACAAGTGCATGGATAGGAACAAGCAGAACTAAAGAGATCAGAGAACTTTGACGTTTTTAATCTCATGATTTTTTATATTATCTGGTGGTTTTTCAGGTGTTGTATTTTGTGTTGCCTTAGTGTCAGTGTTTTTTCTTCAGTACCAGAGAGACGTCATGGTTCACTTACTATTAGGGCTGCCAATTAATAGCAGTTAACTCACGCATTAACTCAAAAAAATTAATCGTGAGTAAAAAAATTAATTGCGATGAACTGCATTTTAATTGCACTGCTAAACAATAAAATACCAATTGAAATGTATTAAATATTTTGGAAGTTTTTCTACATTTTCATACATCTTGTATTCTGTGTTGTAATTACAGGTTTCAGAGTAACAGCCGTGTTAGTCTGTATTCGCAAAAAGAAAAGGGGTACTTGTGGCACCTTAGAGACTAACCAATTTATTTGAACATAAGCTTTCGTGAGCTACAGCTCACTTCATCGGATGCATACTGTGGAAAATACAGAAGATGTTCTTATACATACAAACCATGAAAAAATGGGTGTTTACCACTACAAAAGGTTTTCTCTACCCCGGCCCCACTCTCCTGCTGGTAATTACTCTTTCTGTTTCTTTTAGGGTAACAGAACTTTTATTATGAAAGTAAATCCAGGAAAAAATGTAAAGAACTATAAAAGTTTTATGAACCACAAAAGCAGTAATTATCTGTTTAGCGACTGCTTAGAAGGCATATAACATTTTTTGGTCTTTTGCTTTCAAGCACAAAATCAAAACAAATAAATACAGTAATTACCAACAGGAGAGTGGGGTGGGGGGAGAGAAAACCTTTTGTAGTGGTAAACACCCATTTTTTCATGGTTTGTATGTATGAGAACATCTTCTGTATTTTCCACAGTATGCATCTGATGAAGTGAGCTGTAGCTCACGAAAGCTTATGCTCAGATAAATTGGTTAGTCTCTAAGGTGCCACAAGTATTCCTTTTCTTTTTGTGTTGTAATTGAAATCAAAGTGTATATTATTTTTTATTACAAATATTTGCACTGTAAAAATGATAAGAAATAGTATTTTTCAGTTCACCTCGTACAAGTACAGTAGTGCAATCTTTGTCGTGAAAGTGGAACTTACAGATGTAGATTTTTTTTTTGTTACATAACTGCACTCAAAAACAAAACAATGTAAAAAGAAAAGGAGTACTTGTGGCACCTTAGAGACTAACCAATTTATTTGAGCATGAGCTTTCGTGAGCTACAGCTCACTTCATCAGACAATGTAAAACTTCAGAGCCTACAAGTCCACTCATTCCTACTTCTTGTTCAGTCAATCGCTAAGACAAACAAGTTTGTTTACATTTACAGGAGATAATGCTGCCCTCTTCCTATTTACAGTGCCATTAGAAAGTGAGAACCGGCTTTTGCATGGCACTTTTGTAGCCAGCATTGCAAGGTATTTACATGCCAGATATCCTAAACATTCGTATGCCCCTTCATGCTTCAGCCATCATTCCAGAGGACATGCTTCCATGCTAATGACACTTGTTAAAAAAAAAATGTTAATTAAATTTGTGACTGAACTCCTTGGGAGAAAAATGTATGTCCCCTGCTGTTTTACACACAATCTGCCATATATTTCATGTTATAGCAGTCTCAGATGATGACCCAGCACATGTTCCTTTTAAGAACACATTCACCGCAGATTTCACAAAACGCAAAGAAGGTACCAATGTGAGATTTCTAATGATAGCAACTGCACTCGACCCAAGATTTAAGACTCTGAAGTGCCTTCTAAAATCTGAGAGGGATGAAGTGTGGAGCATGCTTTCAGAAGTCTTAAAAGAGCAACACTCTAATACGGAAACTACAGAACCCGAACCACCAAAAAAGAAAATCAACCTTCTGTTGGTGGCATCTGACTCAGATGATGAAAATGAACATGTGTCTGTCCGAACTGCTTTGGATTCTTATCGAGCAGAACCTGTCATCAGCATGGATGCATGTCCCCTGGAATGGGGGTTGAAGCATGAAGGGACATATGAATCTTTAGTGCATCTGGCACGTAAAACCTTGTGATTCTGGCTGCAACAGTGCCATGAGAATGCCTGTTCTCACTGTCAAGCGACATTGTAAACAAGAACCAAGGCAGTATTATCTCCTGCAAATGTAAACAAACTTGTTTGTCTGAGTGATTGGCTTAACAAAAAGTGGGACTGTGTGGACTTGCAGGCTCTAAAATTTTACATCGTTTTATTTTTGAATACAGATTTTTTGTACATAATTCTACATTTGTAAGTTCAACTTTCATGATTAAGAGATTGCACTACGGTACTTGTATTAGGTGAATTGAAAAATACTATTACTGTTGGTTTTTTTTTACAGAGCAAATACTTGTAATCAAAAATAAATATAAAGAGAGCACTGTACACTTTGTATTCTGTGTTGTAATTGAAATCAATATATTTGAAAATGTAGAAGACATCCAAAAATATTTAAATGGTATTCTATTTTTGGTTAACAGTGTGATTAACCGTGATACATTTTTTTTTATCACTTGATAGCCCTATTTACTATTATACAATACTTGGATCATGTATGATTAAAAATTGATATTTGTATCTGTAAAGTGTGCCTTTACGGAAAAACTATTTCACTGCTTGAAAGGTTTTGTTTTATTTAAGTGGTGATGTCAAGCAGAAATTAATTTAAATTTTCTCTGGGGGCAAGTTATCCTATAACTTTCTACTGCAGGGTTTCTTGCACCTTCCTTTGAAGCAGTTGTTTGTGCCAGTGATACTGAATAAGATGGAGGGCTGGGTCTGGCCCAGCACAATAATTCCTTTGTCCTTAAATTACTTTTAGTGTGATGGAATTAGCAAAAATTGTGTAAATTTGAACCTTAAACTAGGCATTCAAAAATTGATGTACAGTAACTTTGGACTAAGAGACTGCTTTATGGTCACTTTTGTTATATATCTTAGCATGCTGACTGATCATATGTTGTTCCAAACTTGGATAAATGTATCCCTGCATTCATGCCTTTTACAAGTGACTTGCAAAAAAAAAATTGTGCTCTTTATTGCTTCTTTGTCATGCAAGATGAAGGCCTGAAAAGTCTCTTCTGCATGTTTTTATATTTATCTTTAAAATACTAGGGACATTAAGACTATTCTTTCCTAGTTGTGGTGGAAGGCTCCTTGGAGGACTGCATAGCTGAAGTGAGTGTTTTCCACAGCCTTCCATTGAATGAACTAGAGGTGTGGATTTGAATCTTTAACAAAGAAAACTTTCTCTCTCAAGAGTTTGTCATGCTTTTGAGTTAAATTATGTGTTAATAAATCTGACCATCCCCACTCAATTGTTTTTAATATCTTCTGGATGGCTTAATCCCAAGATTTCCTAGCAGTCCATAGAGTTCTCGAGCAAAAATAGGATAGACCAGACCTGATTTAAAAAATAAAAAGATTTATGATTAATCTGGTGTTATGGTATATTTGATGTATTTGAAAAAAAATAACAATTATAAATATTAAAAAGGGGGCAGAGTGTACAAATACTACTTTTCTTTGCAATTCACCTTTGATTAGAGTTGGTCCATACTTGTTGATTCTTAGAATAAATTCAGTAGTGGTGTACGTATTGTGAAGTTTTTAATAATTATACTCTTTCTCTATTGAAGGCTACAGATAGAAGAATCTTCTAAACCTGTAAGACTATCACAGCAATTGGACAAAGCTGTAACAACCAATTATAAACCTGTGGCTAATCATCAGTATAACGTAAGTTACTTTTACTTTTTACTTTAATCTTTTTCCCTGCTAATCTTAATCACTACAAGTCTCTCAGGAATATAGTTGATCTGTGCAGTGACTCCTCTGTAGGTCCAGGCTTTGTGTGTCTTTTTTTCGTTTAGAAAGTCTTCGCCTTTTGAAAATCCTTTTTTCTGTGGTATAAAGATTCTGCCTATGTTTTGTTTCCTGGATAACTTCCTTCTCTCTGGAGTCCAGCGCCAATCCAGTGGCTAAAATCTGCTGATTCTAATTCCCCTTTGTTGCATGGCAGAGGCATAGCAGAACTCTCCTTCCTGTTTTTCCTTCCCCAATCTCTTTCTGCTGTTTTTATTACCTCTCATCTTTAGTCATGCCTGAAATTCAATTTTGTGGCCTTAAGGGCAGAAATACTGTACCCTGAGATTGTACATTCCACTTTTGCATCATGCATAATAACAATAATGTGAAAGATGTGAAAGGCTAAGGAAGTATCTTTAACTTCTAATCCTTTGCAGCGAGTTTCCTGAATGACAGGAAACAATTGGTAAATCTTTGCATCATTATTCCTTCATAGTACATACTCCCTTATCAATTACTCTAATAATATTACATCCACATTGCAGGTCAGTGTCATTTGATATGAATACAAGCTATAATGCCCTCCTTCTTAAAAGATCCTTTTTTGTGTAATTTGTATGTATGCATGTATAATAAGCAACTTAGACGCTTGAATGGAAGGAACGTTGTTAAAATTAAGTCACACTAAGAATTAGTCACTGTATGAGTCATTTGCTCTTTTGTACTTCTGGTTAAGATTTTCTTTACATAAAACAAATGACAACATGTATGGTACACAACCATTACTGTAGAATACAATCCAATTTAAGACCTGGTCTACACTTAAAATTTAGATTGATGTAGCCACATCTCTCTGGGTAGGAAAAACTCACTCCTCTTTGTGGCATAGCTGTGCCAACCTAATCCCTGGTATAGATGCAGCTAGGTCGATGGAAGAATGTTTCTGTCAACCTAGCTACTGCCACTCAGGGAGGTGAATTACCTACGGTGATGGAAAACCCTCTTCTGTCACTATAGGCTGTATCTACATTATGGGGTTAGTGCAGCGTAGCTATGCCATTGTAATCCCCATAGTGTACACAAACCCTTACTTATTCTAACAGGTCACAAAATAATCATTCCTTTCTCAGCACACACTGCTTTTATAGTAGCTATAGTCTAAGGACTGATCTACGCACAGATTTCATTTCAGTTAAGAGTGTGACTTTTTACCAAAATAGTTATACTGGTAAACTCTTTAGTGTAGATGCGGTTATACCAGCATGCATCTGCCTTATCCTGGTATAACTTATTCCTCTTCCAATACTGAAATAAGCTACAGCAGTAAACGTGGATCCATACAACTGTAACCGTTTTTTTGTGGGTCACAAGTGAGAATACCAAATTCAGGACAAACTCCTGAGAAATAGGGCAGACACACCCCAAATTGGTGGTTATTCCTCCATAAATATACTAAACCAGCAACAACAGTAAACTTCTCTCTCACCACACTGGCTAACAAGAAGTCAGGTAAGCAGTTTCCTTAGATATTCCAGTCCTTGTATCACCCCCAAAAACACTGGATTTAAAGATGAGTGGTTCTTTACAACCAGTCTCATCAAATAAAAGGTTCTTCTGATCCCAAAGGACCAGCCACATACCCAGGTCAATATACAACTCAGATCTTACCCAAAAATCACGCTGATGTCAGTCCTTAAATATCTAAAATCTAAAGGTTTATTTATAAAAAGAAAGAAAGAAAGGTGAGAGTTAAAATTGGTTAAAGGAATCAAATACATACAATAATTGCAAAGTTCTTGGTTCAGACTTGTAGCAGTGATGGAATAAACTGCTGGCTTGTTAAGTCTCTGGGTGCTTTCAAATCATTGGAAGGACCTCAGTCTCTTGGTTAGAATGCTCCCATTAGTATAAGTCCATAGTTCAGAGGTTTGAGCAGGAAAGAGGCAAAATGGAGGGATTTCCAGGGCCTTTTATAGCTTCTTCCATGTGGAAGGAAACCCATTGTTTCAAACAAAGCCCTCAGCACAGCTAATGGAATATTGCAGGTAAAAGATGGGAGTGTGGAGTCAGATGGGCAAGTCTCATGTCCATGCTTCATTTTGCTTAGTCATAGCAGGCAGCCATTACCTATACTTCAGATGGAACATCTACAGGAAAGTCCATTCAGTTTGGATGGGCTTCTCCCATGGTCCATTGTGAGTTAAGTGTCCTTCTGATGGGCCACTTAATTTGAATAGTCCCTCTGAGATGTGCTGGGTAACTACCTTGTGGGCATTACCCCAGGAGCAAACATTTGAAATATAGGTATAGAGCCAATACTTATAACTTCAAATACAAAAATGATACATGCATACAAATAACATAATTATATTCAGCGAATCATAACCTTTCCATAGACACCTTACATGCCACATTTCGTACAAGATTTGTTGCAAATATATAACAGTGGTTGTAGCAATGGTCTGTACGGTCATATTTTAATAAGATAACATCACACCATATTAGGGGGTTATACTACTTTGACTATATCACTATAATTAAAGCGGTAACTTTTGTGTGTAGACAAGCCCTAAAGTTTTAGTCTAGTTATAGATTACAGTCATGATGCTATTGATACTACAGCTTTTAACAGTCTTGTTACACAGTTGTCCCCCCAGGCTGTTACTAGATCTCCTAGGGGATGTCTACACAGCAGAGAAAAACCCAAGTCTGGCCCATGCCAGCTGATGTGGGCTCATGGGGCTTGGACTGCGGTGCTGTTTCATTGCTATGTAGACTTCTGGGCTCAGACTGGAGCATGGGCAGCGTGTGAACCACTGGCTGGGGGAGGCTAGCCCCCAGACTCACGCCTCCTCCACCCGAGGCCCTGCCCCTTCTGTGCCCCTGGAACCCACATCCTCCCCACTGCGACCGCTGGTCCCTATCTCGGGCTGGCTAGTGCCCGCAGCCCCCTCTCCCCAGCCCCGGAGTGGCAGGAGAGAGAGCGCATAGCGGTGGTGCTGCAGCCTCCCCAGCACGGCAGGAGGGAGAGCACGTGGCACCACCGCAACCCTGGGAGGCGGGGCCCTGGGGGCGGAATGTGGGCAGAATGTGGAATGAAGCTTGAGCTCTGGGACCCTCCCAGCTCACAGGGTCCTAGAGCCCAGGCACCAGCCCAAGCCCAGACGTCTACACAGCAGTGAAACAGCACCGTAGCCCAAGCCCCATGAGTCTGAGTTGGCTTGCCCATATCTAGTTGCTGTGTAGGCGTACCCGTAATGAGTACATGGTTGTAATATGGGAGTACCCAAATTGTAACATTGTCAGCAGTTTGCACAGCTGTTCGTGTTGATATAAACATCCAGAAGACGTACGTATCCAGTATGGTTAGTTGTAGAACTTTTGATGGAAAAAGCCTATTAAAATAGATCATGTACATCATATCATCCCTCCTTCATTTCCCACCCCCAAATGCCAGTGCAGGATTGTTTTCTTCAGTAACTTCTCCAGTCTGCTGAATCTAGGTTTAGATGTCCCAAATGGTGAATCTTCTCCCATTTCTCTTAAAAGATCATTCCACAATCTTTTAAAATCTCACAATTAGATTTTTCCTGACCTTTTCAGGCTGAAATTATTTTCTTAAGCTCATCCCAATAGTCTCAGTTATACCACACTGCTCTAATAAGGGCAGCAGTTATCAGAGGAGAGGAAAGAAAAAGGAAAATATGAACTGATGTGGGAAGGGGGAAGAAGGACAATCATCTACCATGGAAGAGGGAGAGTCCCAAGAAGGGTAAAAATGAAAGGAACAATAATACAAATGAAAGGGGTGGAGCTACTGACGGGAAGGTGCATAATAAGTGAGACAAGAGTATAACTCCACCTCTTCGCCCTCCACTACCCCATGATGGGAGGTACAAAAGGGAAGGGTAGGAAGAAGAACTAGAAGTGGGCAGGGGAAGTGATATCTACAATCTTTTTTCTTCATTTTTTTGAATGACATCCCTCATCCATCAGTACGAGAATGGAGGGGGAGAGATTCTTTCTCTCCCAAAATGAAATTAAACCCGGCCTTCTCACTAGAATATTGTAAATTATAAAAATGTATCATGTAACTGGTAAATGTAACTTAGAGTTTTAGTTCTTTGGGGAAGGGAATTTCTCCTTATGTATTTATAAATGCCATGCTTGCCTGTAGTGTTATAACAATGTTCTCACGGCTGTGAGACTTCTGTTGCTTTACTGTCTTTTATCATATGCTAACAAAGCTCTCTAGGCTCCACTAACTGTGTCTACATCACTTTCAGTTTGTCTGTTTTAACAATGCTAATAAACAGAATAATATCTGTTAGGTGATAATACAGTCAATAAGACCACCTCTGAGTTAATTTTTTAAAAAGTTATTACTTTTACGTGCAGTGCAAAATAATTAACTTTACCTAATAATCTTCAACCATTTGTACCACAACAAGAGTGATAAACACCTAATATATGGAGGAATGTATTATCAAATCATGGTCAAATAGTATTTATTTTCATTTTCCCAAGTCTCTTGAAGTCTTAAATTGAATCCTGCAGATATTGCTCTGTATGGAGCTTACCATGGCCTCGTTAGCAACAAGACTTGTATAGTCTGTCAGATGCTTTTGCAGCAATATTGGTCAATATTTCAAGCCTGAAATCTGACTGACTTTAAGATTAATATAATTTTGCGAGGCCTGAGCCCTAAGAGTGAGATTGTAGCATGTAAGTTATTGCCTGCAGTGATGGGGTCCCGAGACATTTGTTTCCCTCATAGAAACAGAATGAAAAGCACTTGGTTTGGGGTGTCTTAATTTTGTTCAGCCCTTAGAAACTATGATGATGGGCACTAAATTAAAAACATAGGGAGGGCATTTCAGAGGCATTGTCTCTGATGTTGTAGCATGGGCTGTGGCAGTCCTAGATACATCCTTTCAAAAGGTGCTGCATCTCTTCCCACAATAAGAGCCCAATCCACTCTCATTCCCTCTCCTACTTAGAGTGTCACTGAGCAAAGTGGTGGGAAAATATCTTGTCCCTTTCCCCCTCCAAATACAGGTCTATTCACCATCTAGCTCTAAACATCTTGATGTTGGTTTAATAACTGTCCCCATTTCCTTGTTGAGAAAGTTTCTGAAGTACTCACTATTTATGTAAGCTTCAGACAATATTTTAGGGATTTGTGCTCCCTTTAGGTGTCTCTGCAGACTAACAGACCACATTAATTTCAAGCGCTTATAAACACGAGTGGGAAAATAGCACTTTACAGTACAAAATATAGTGATGGGAAATTAAATTGTTTGTAGAGAACCTTAGCAGTAAATAGTGTTCTTTCTTTAAAGGGTATTCATCCATATTATTACCAGTCCCAGACACCTGTCCCACATACATAGACATCCCCTGGCCCTCAGGTCCTGGAGAACTTCCAGTCAGGCTGAAAGAGTTGGGCCCCCAAAGCCCTTCACCATCTTTCTAAGACCATTGTTTCCCCTTGTTCTGCCGTCACTCCCCATTTCCAGCATCCATCACTGTTTACCACTCTCTTCCCTCACCTGTCAGTTCCTTTCCTTTAGTAGCTTCTCTCTCCGCTTTCAAATCAGCTGCAAGCCCTGCCTGTCACTAGCCTCTCTTCCCCTGTGACTGCTCCTATTTGCTGCTGCTGTCTCCCATGGAGACCTCTTTTCTGTCCTTTGTTGGCATGGACCTTGCTTACCCAGTCCAACCCTATAATTTTCCCAGTCTCTCTGCACAAAGCCTATCACTTCCATTTTTCTGCTTATGCATATCCACAGAACTCCTCCAGCTTGACTCAACCTGATTCATTTTGGCTGCATTTACACTGAGAATGTCTGAAACTCTCCCACCTGTGGTATAGTATTGGTACAACTCCACTGTACTAACAGTGAGAGTACTAAATATAGGCTGATCTCATAGATTTTTACCACCCTGCCATGTAACCCTGCTCACAGCCTGGCTAGACTACATGATTGAAACACCAGAAGTCGCAAGTACCATGTCTTACACTGATGCTCCTGCTGTTGCTGAAAAAGTAGAACAATTTTCAGAAAAAGTTTAGAGTGTAGACAAGACCTTACTTCAACACGCAGCGTGGAATCTCTTCAGCAAATGCACATTTTGTTGAACTTCAGAATACCAGGCAGACCAAGAAAGCCATTTTGAGTTGGACTGTGAATTTCATTGTTAAATTAATTGCGTTTATTTGTTCGCTAGAGTAGCTTCTTTGCAGGATGAAATGATAATTGTAGGGGTGTTTCACTGACTACAGAATAGTTCTTTATTTTAAAAAAAAGAGTTTTGAAAAGAATATAGAACCTTTTAAAGCTTCTTTCAAATGTTTTTTTAGAGTAAACTTTTTACTTTCACCTAACACATCTTTTTCATCATCTTTGTATTAACCATCTGCTGAAGAAATATAATACATGTCTGTATTAATGACGCCTTCAAATAGGGCATCTTGGCAACCTTCCAGTAAGTCTAGTGACACACTGTGAAGGTAAACAAAGAAAGAAAAATTGATCTTGTATAAAGGATTGCAGGGGATGAAACAGCAACTTCAATGTTTACCAGCCCATCCCAAAACTACACCCCATGGTATCCAAATATACTTGGGGCTAATTTAGCTACAACTAATCAGGAGAAAGATGTTGGAGTCTTCGTGGATAATTCTCTGAAGACATCCACGAAGTGTGCACCAGCAGTCAAAAAAGCAAATGGAATGTTAGGAATAATTAAAAAAGGGATAGAGAATAAGAGGGAGAATATCTTATTACCCTTATATAAATCCATGGTATGCCCACATTTTGAGTACTGCGTACAGATGTGGTCCCCTCATCTCGAAAACGATACACTGGCATTAGAAAAGGTTCAGAAAAGGGCAACTAAAATGATTAGGGGTTTGGAACAAGTCCCATATGAGGAGAGATTAAAGATAGATAGTGTTCTATCCCCGATAATGTCACGGCTAACCTGGTGGCTGAACTTTGTGACTTTGTCCTTACCCATAACTATTTTACATTTGGGGACAATGTATACCTTCAGATCAGCGGCACTGCTATGGGTACCTGCATGGCCCCACAGTATGCCAACATTTTTATGGCTGATTTAGAACAACGCTTCCTCAGCTCTCGTCCCCTAACGCCCCTACTCTACTTGCTTTATATTGATGACATCTTCATCATCTGGACCCATGGAAAAGAAGCCCTTGAGGAATTCCACCATGATTTCAACAATTTCCATCCCACCATCAACCTCAGCCTGGTCCAGTCCACACAAGAGATCCACTTCCTGGACACTACAGTGCTAATAAACGATGGTCACATAAACACCACCCTATACTGGAAACCTACTGACCGCTATTCCTACCTACATGCCTCCAGCTTTCACCCTGACCACACCACACGATCCATTGTCTACAGCCAAGCTCTGCAATACAACCGCATTTGCACCAACCCCTCAGACAGAGACAAACACCTACAAGATCTCTATCAAGCATGCTTACAACTACAATACCCACCCGCGGAAGTGAAGAAACAGATTGATAGAGCCAGAAGAGTTCCCAGAAGTCACCTACTACAGGACAGGCCTAACAAAGAAAATAACAGAACGCCACTAGCCGTCACCTTCAGCCCCCAACTAAAACCCCTCCAACGCATTATTAAGGATCTACAACCTATCCTGAAGGATGACCCAACACTCTCACAAATCTTGGGAGACAGGCCAGTCCTTGCCGGGAGACAGCCCCCCAACCTGAAGCAAATACTCACCAACAACCACATACCACACAACAGAACCACTAACCCAGGAACCTATCCTTGCAACAAAGCCCGTTGCCAACTGTGCCCACATATCTATTCAGGGGACACCATCACAGGGCCTAATAACATCAGCCACACTATCAGAGGCTCGTTCACCTGCACATCCACCAATGTGATATATGCCATCATGTGCCAGCAATGCCCCTCTGCCACGTACATTGGTCAAACTGGACAGTCTCTACGCAAAAGAATAAATGGACACAAATCAGATGTCAAGAATTATAACATTCATAAACCAGTCGGAGAACACTTCAATCTCTCTGGTCACGCAATTACAGACATGAAGGTCGCTATCTTACAACAAAAAAACTTCAAATCCAGACTCCAGCGAGAAACTGCTGAATTGGAATTCATTTGCAAATTGGATACTATTAATTTAGGCTTAAATAGAGATTGGGAGTGGCTAAGTCATTATGCAAGGTAGCCTATTTCCCCTTGTTTTTTCCCATCCCCGTCCCCTCAGACGTTCTGGTTAAACTTGGATTTATGCTGGAAATGGCCCACCTTGATTATCATACACATTGTAGGGAGAGTGGTCACTTTAGATAAGTTATTACCAGCAGGAGAGTGGGGTGGGAGGAGGTATTGTTTCATGGTCTCTGTGTATATAATGTCTTCTGCAGTTTCCACAGTATGCATCCGATGAAGTGAGCTGTAGCTCACGAAAGCTTATGCTCAAATAAATTGGTTAGTCTCTAAGGGGCCACAAGTACTCCTTTGCTTTTTGCGAATACAGACTAACACGGCTGTTACTCTGAAACCTGTCATAAGAATGTTGGAAAGCCATAATATCTCTTCAGTATTTGCAGGATGTCCTAGCTCATTGCCTGTTGGATTTTCAGTGGAGTGCTTTGGATACAAATGTCTGTGTACTGTTTAAAACAAAAAAGTAGACTGCCTGGATTTTTGTTCGCATTCTGTAGTTTCTGTGGAGTCCAGCTGTTATGCTGTAGGTCTTGGCAATCAAGATGGTATTTTATAACCCACTTTATTGACTGGTGCAGTTTGCAAATGTTGCTGACTTGCTGCTCTTTTGAAGATTTCTCAAATTTAAGAAACATAGACTTTCAGAATAATTATAGTGTAATAAATCACCAAAATGCACCTGAGAATGAAAATAAGTTGACTGCGTCAAGAGGTGTACACTGAGAACTTCTGAATTCATATCCCTGTTCTGACACTGGGATGTGAACTCTCTCTAGCTTTGGACAAGTCACTTAATCTCTCTGCATCTGTTCCTTTATTTGTGAAGTGGAGTTATTATTTATCTATGTGTTAGAGGTACTAAGGATTGATTGATCATTCACATGTTGATTTTTTGGAAAGGAAAAGCAGGAAGTAGCTGCAAAATGTTTTATTAAATAGATGGGTTTTTTACAAAATAGATACTGTAGTACTCTGTATAGAGAAATACCCAGAGATTGTGTTGCATGTACATCTTTTTTTAAAAAAATATTTTAATTCATAGATTGAGTATGAAAAAAAGAAAAAAGAAGATGGAAAACGAGCTCGGGCTGATAAACAGCAAGTGTTGGACATGCTTTTTTCTGCCTTTGAAAAACACCAGTATTACAACATTAAGGACTTGGTGGACATAACCAAACAGCCTGTGGTATGTATGTGTTTATAATAGCCTTCGTAACATATTTTTCAATAATGACCACCACAAAATATATTGATGATTAGGAATATGTCTTTTATACTTACAGTACATAGTCTTAAAAATATACCTTTTAAATGTATTTATTGTGTGTTTATAGTAAAGAGAGGAAAGTTGGCACACAATTTTAAGATACATTTATTCAGAACTAAATAGATATGAAATACTGTGGAGATTAATTCCTCCCTTGGCAAAGAGATGGCTAAAATAATAGATCTCTTCTATGTTTGGCTTCTGTGTTTTAATGCTAGAAATCAGACTCTTTATCTATATAAATAGGTAGAAAAAAGTCAAGTATCATAATATCAGGCCCCAAATACATTTAATATTAAATTCTCATTATTGCCTACATTCAGACTTTTAAAACTCCACTTTTGGGAGTGGGGGCAGTTCAGGCTTTTTTCTACCTCATTTGTGTGTGTGAGACTGTTTAGGATGAAAATAAAACAAGAAAAGAAACACAAAAATACATACTCAAAAATGGGCTTTGAGGGAGTAGCCCTATCCCTTCTTTCCCTTGATGAAATGACATTCTACAACCTCACTCCAGCCCTCGGATTTCTTTTCTGTTTCCCTTTCCCATCCTGGCAGATCCCAACCGCGCCTTCTGGCAAGTGCCAGCAGCCTTCTGCAGGGGAGAGACTGCCTTTTATGCCCTGCTAGTTCTGGCAGCGGAAGTGGAAAAGGAGTTTCACTTGTAGGATTTTGCCTCTTTCTCCAGTTCCCCGGGATTTCTGTCTTTATGGATACCCTCAACAAAGCATCATGAAATGCAGAGCTGCTGTTCAGCCTGTCTAACTCCCTAGTTCTCTCCCTTATGCACCCACCCCCGGAACTGTAAATAGCCTGCTGAACACAATAGCAATCCCTGAAGACCAATAGTAGGAACTGCAGCAGCTCTGGCTAATTTCCTGAGCTCCTTCCAGCACTCCATGTTATATACACAACACAAATAGTGGCCCAAATTATAACCTAAAAGTATTAGATCCCTATATTCCTTATTATAATACACTGAATACACATCAGTTTTGCTCACTTAATACATATCAAATGTGGAGATATGTAAGTAAATAGACTGTCTGTGTGATGCTTTTGCCGGAGACAGAACAGGAATGGAGTGTTAGAACTTAGTAAGTAATCTAGCTAGATATGCGTTACATTCTGTTTGTTTAAATGGCTTAGAAAATAAGCTGTGCTGAATGGAATGGATATTCCTGTTTTTGTGTCTTTTTGTAACTTGCCTAGAGGGATTCTCTGTGTTTTGAATCTAATTACCCTGTAAGGTATTTACCATCCTGATTTTACAGAGGTGATTCTTTTTTACTTTTTCTTCTATTAAAATTCTTCTTTTAAGAAACTGAATGCTTTTTTCATTGTTGTTAAGATCCAAGGGTTTGGGTCTGTGGTCACCTATGCAAATTGGTGAGGATTTTTATCAAACCTTCCCCAGAAAAAAAGGGGTAAGACTTGGGAGGATTTTGTGGGGAAAGATGTTTCCAAACGAACTCTTTCCTAAGAATAATAATAATACCGGTGTTAGACGTTTGGTGGTGGCAGCGAAAGTCCAAGGGCAAAGGGTAAAATAGTTTGTACCTTGGGGAAGTTTTAACCTAAGCTGGTAAAAGTAAGCTTAGGAGGTTTTCATGCAGGTCCCCACATCTGTACCCTAGTGTTCAGAGTGGGGAAGGAGACAGTTATTTAAAAATTTTAACCAGTTAAATGATGGAATGACCTCCTTGAGCAAGTCCACAAAGCCATGATTCTCTTATTCAGGCACCTGAAGGCTGAACACATAGAAGAAACAAGCTGATTAATTCATCCATTTCTCTGTTTCATTTATTTATTATATGAGTAAACTCTTCATCTGTTTGGAGTGGGAGGGTGTAGGGACACAAGCTGAGAGTTGGTGTGGGAGGAAGATGAGGGCTGAGTTGTGTGGAGGGAATGGGGAAGGGAATCTTGTGTTCTCAATTAAAAAAAAAAAAAAAAAAAGATAAAAATATACCAGTAATACGTGACCAATCATCATCTTGATTGCTTTGCTTATATGTTGTACCCCTTAGTCACACCTTTTTGTCCTCATCTTTTCAGGCTGTTCTTATTGGGAGCAGGGACTTTGTCATCTTCTGTATTTGAAAAGCACATAGCACAAACTGGGCTCTACACCAATTTAAATAATATCTGTCACTTTCGTTTTTATTTCCATGAAAGAAATTATATTCTGCTCATAGTGTGGTGGATCTACATTAATTAATTACTCTAATCTCAGTGAGCTCTATTGCTTTTAACCGTAAAACTCTTAATAATGATACAATCTACCTAAATTTATATTTTGTTCCAACCCAGCACCACGTTTTCCTGTTTACTTGCACTGAACCTGCCCATTTCTCTGAAGACTACCAAGATTTTACAGCTGTTAAACCCTTTCCCTCTCAGTATGTTCTGCAGTGTCCGTTCAGAAGAACGTGATATATAGTTGCCTCTTCCTGTTTACTTTTTTGATGGATGTTTGCCATCTTTGTTTGCTGATTCCCCTACACCCAAATATTAGTGGGGATAGTGCAGCCTGTGCTTGGCTGCCTTCCTCTTTGTTCACATGATATCCAGTGTACTGATAACTTAAAAACATTCTTTCAATATGCCACCGACCCCACCCCCCCCAAATTAACATGCTAAGTTTCTAACTGTTTCCTTTAAGTACTTCTCTAGTAAGCATTTTCTAAATGGAAACAATTCCATTAGCAGCTATCAGCTATTTGTTTCCTGCCCTTCAGCCTATTTTCATTCCAATGTGCCAATTTTCTCGGTGCCCCGTAGACATGAATCTCTAGTGTGAAATATTTTTTCCAAAAATATAGTATCTGTTCCTATTTCCCACTGTGGCTTCATTGTTGTCATAGCAGCTTTGCTTTCCGCCCGCGCGTGCACACGTGCACGCCAACAGGTCCAATAGGTATTTTCTCTTCTTACTTATTGTAAAGAGGTTGGCTGTTAATTAAACTCTGCATAAGTGTTCACTGCTTGATTTTCTAAAATAGCTTTTAAGACTTTCTTGGTATGTAATCTTTCCTCTAGGTTTCTAAATGTTGTGGTTATTTTCAGAATTGACTAAAAGGTTTTGCCAATTCTTTTTTCAGCTGTGTTAGAATTAATCTATTGATGCTTATCTCACCGGGTGTTAGTGTTTAAACTTCACTTAGCAAAACAGTCAAAAACTTCGTTAATCAAATAGCAAATAAATGCCAGTATTTTTGGTGTGATTGTAAATAGCATCCTTCTGACACTTTTGAAGAGTACATTGGTATATGTTGGATCTGACATTATATTTATTCTGAAGTCCTGTAAACACAGAGCAGGTCTCTTGTGAATTCTAGTACATTTTCTATTTTTACTTCAAAATAATGTAAGCACATACAAATTACACTATGATAATAGTCAAATCTACTCTCCTTTACCCTGATCTAAATATAGAGTAACTCCATAGAGGTTGTTGGAATTGTTCCAGACTTAGACTGAATAAATAACAATGAACAGAATTTGTCTGGTGTGTAAACAATAAAATATTCACTAAAGAATAGGACTACTGTGTCTAATTTGAACTGTATTTTTTTATAAATGGCTAATAGTGAGGACTATTTATAACTATTTCTAACACTTAAGCTCAGTCCACTTGTTCTCGAGTATTTTTGCATTCCTCATAAGTTTTGGAAAACATTTTTCAGAGCTTAGATGTTGATGCATTTTGCAGCTTCCCAAGTATGTTCTCACTATAATGCCATGCTAACATTTCACTCTCCATTTAAAAAACTGCATTGAGACTTCTCAGACCTTAAAAAATGCAGTAGCAATAAGAGCGTCTTATGCTGTAACTCCAGTCTTTGAAATTTTGGAGACAGTTTTCCCGAACAAAAAAATTGAAAGACTTTGTGTGCGAATGGTTTACTAGGTGGGCTCCTTTTTACCTGTTTTATTGCAGAATATTTGAACAATATTGGTGCAGTAATGTCTGATCTCATAGCTCTTAGTGCATGTAATAAATGTCATGGGGTAACGTTAAAATAATGGATATTGCTGAAGAACAGAAAACAATGAGCAGGAGTTGATTTGGTTTATTTTGAGATTTTTCAGACAAACCTCTGGAAAATACTGTGCGAGGACATCAGACTTCCTTACCAATGCAGCCTGAGCAGTGGGAAGTTCAAAAGTTGCTCTGAAATCACATTCTTCTCATTACTGTTTATTTTTCTGTCATTGGGGATTGGTTTTTCAAATACTCTGTATTGCTCTAAACTAGAGGTTTCCAGTTTAACTTTTTAATAAAGTTCTTTTTTGTTTCTGTTGCCCTTTTTTAAATTTTGCTGACAGTGGTAGCATTCACTGGTAGTAGCATTCTCCCTCCCATACTTTTCAATTGCTCTTAATTTTCTCAATTTAATGTGCCACAAGTTTGAGATAATATTATATTTAGAGGCTTTAACTTGGTGAGGTTGCACAAATATGCTGTATTTCATTTTGAGAGAGTTTTCAAATGTACAGGACGTGCAATGTTGCCAAGTTAACACTATGTTTTAAAAAAAACTTAAATTTTGGCATTTCCTGACTTTTTTCTCTGCTTGTTTTCCTTCATATTGCATTAATTGACTCTTGCACATAATATTGAATATGCTTGAGTGTTTTATAATAATCTGTAAGAGATAGGCAACAAGTTTCTTGGAGAAATTGCCCTTTTAATTATGTTCTGACACTTGTATACGTGCATATAACTCCGACTAGCTTCAATGCGTTTAGAGCAGGTTTAATTTCATTATCGCGTTCTTCACTTCAAAAAAGTTGCTTTTATGTTAGGGAGCAAGATCTGAAGCAAAGGGCAAGGGTAGAGAGATAAAGAAGGATGTGAAAAGCAAAGAAGGGGGACAGAGAATGTGGGGCACTGAGGAAAAACTTACTGTGTC